AAGCCAAACTGGTATTTTCAAATAGTGCTGTTCTCTAATTTTCTCCCATACTAGCAGTAAAGCATTTCTTATATAGTGTCTTTGAAAGTAACCATGTATCTTATTTTTCCCATAACATAAAAAGACATGCCAACCCAATTGCAAATCATGTCCTCCAGGTTCAATAATCTTGTGTTCCTCAGTACAATCCATTCTTTCATCCATGTTAATACCCCAGCCTGATAATATAATTCCCAGTTTGGCAGTCCAAAACCTCCCCTTGTTCTTTTTTAAGTTAATTGCTCTTTTCCCTTACCATATAAATTTTAATATTATTTTATTCAGATCCTTAAAATATTTTTTCCAGTTTTATCCGGACTGTTTGAAACAGATACAATAATCTTGGTAGTATATTCATTTTAATTATGGCTATTCTTCTTGTTAACGATCATTGCAAACCTTTCCATTCCAAGTCTATCTTAATTTGTTGTAACAATTTATAATAATTATCTTCTTTAATAGTTACACATTTGCTGTTAATTATTTATTTTCTTGGTAATCTGAATATTTAATCTCTTCATTAAATCCTTTTTTTGCTTATCTGTGATATTCTTCATTAAAATCTTGGGTTTTTTTCTTTGTTTATTTTCAATCCTGTCACATCTTCATAGTCTTCTATTTTTTCCATCAATTTCAACCCTGTTTCTTGTGGATCTTCTAAAATAAAAACTAAATCAACTGCAAATGCCTTTAACTTGTATTCTTCCTTTTAATTCCCATACCTTTTATCTTCCTATCTTGTCTAATGTTTCTTGTACCCTTCTTAATACAAATCTTTTCAGTCATATTTCCATTTACCATCACTTCTGTGGCTTGTTTATGATATATTGCCTTGATCATTTTAATAAATCGCTCCCCAAAGTCCATCTCTTTTAACTATGCCAACATGAACTGTCATTTCACATTGTCAAATGCCTTCTGTGCATCTAAAATGTTCAACGCCATTTGCTTCTCTGGATGTGCTTCATATCCAATGTGTTCAGAATTACTCTCATATTGTCTTTGATTTGTCTCTTAGGTAGAAAGCCATTTTGATCTGAGTGTATAAACTGATTTAGAAATCCCTTTAGTCTTTCTGCAATAATTGATGCAAATATTTTGTAGTCTGTATTCAATAACGATAATGGTCTATAATTTTTAATCTGTTGCAAGTCTGAATCTTCTTTTGATATGAGAGTAATATATGCTTCCATTCAAGAATTAGGTACCTTTCGCCTCTAACAAAGGTAGTCCTCACTTATTGAACTCTTTAGATCACTGTTTAAAATTAGAAAAAACAATTTTATAGCCCACTTACAATCATTTATAACCTTTGCAATATCCTTCAGTCACATGATCCCCATTATAGACAGTACACATCCTGAATCTGACCTTTGGGGGATTTTATTCTTTTCCCCCATCTTGCAGAAGATAGGATTGTAAGAGAGCAAGCTATTTGCTCTTGTACACACTGAAAGCAATGTGATTGTACTGAAAGCAGGAAAGGGTCAGGCAAAGGAAAGATTATTTACAGAAATTACTTGCTTTTTTGTCTTACCTTTGTAACCAAAAAATCCTTTAGGCTTCTTGTTCTCAAATGGAATAAATGTTCCAATGATGAAGTCAGCAATAGCTACTAGTAATATCACCAGCAGAACAATCTGTGCCTATAATTTTCAAGTGGTTAATATCAAGTGATTAATATATTTATATAAAACATTTCTCCAAATTAAATCCAACGCTAGATATATCAGTCTACTAGTTAAGTGACATATACATTGGGATTTCTATTTTTAATTAATGCCATCTGCTTATCAAAAATAATCTTTCATATTGCATAAATTTAAAAGCATAGTTTACCTATTTTATTACCTGTTATAATCTAATTACTCAAAGGTGTCAAAAACCTGTCTCAGAAACAGGTATTAACAACAGAAACAAAAGGTTAAATTCAACAGTCTGAAATTGGATGATAGTACCAGTATTATTACGATTGGATCACTATTTTACCGCTTTATTATTTCTTCACTTTATGTAGGCATATGTATTGCAAATATGTAGTCATTTTCTTAGATTTTCTTGGGGGGGGGGGAGTTGCTCAGATCACTTCGTTTATGTAGGCAGTCATATAAATGTTATACAGTTCTTTAGATATGTCAACCTTTCTTCAATTGAGACATAGAAAAGCTTGTGCTTGAAAGTGTTTTGTAACAGATATAATTCACCTAGAAGATAATTCATCTATTTGATAAAAGCAACTTAAGCATATTAATTCTTTGAAGTAAATCATATTAAGATCTTAAGTATTTAAAACTAGGATAGTATCTTTTTAGATTTATAGAATGCAAATAATATATCCTATATAAAACATATTTTATTAGGATCTGTTTGGGTCATGGCATTCTAAAAAAAATACTAGTTTTAACTGCCTCCTTCTGAAATTATATATATAAATTTTATGTACACACACACACATCTTCCATAGAATTATAAATTTTCTTTTGGGGGGCACAGAACTGTCACAAATCTTAATGGTTGTTTGAATTATTTATTCACAACAAAATCTGATACTATGCTCTAGGACTGCAACAGTCACATTTGAAGAATCCTTCCCTCCCATTACTCTAATGGAAAAACTATGTTAACAGAAAATGTAAACAATCTCTATATTGCAACTATATGATAAAGTTATTGCAAGAATGTTCTTTGCTAGATGTCTGAATATTTGTTCTGTTTTTATAACATATGCATATTGTTTTGCACATTTTTCATACATTACTTTACACTTTTATATCTTTTTAAAAATCATAGTTACTTACTTTAGCTTCCCATTCCATTCCTGCTAACGAGATACCTAATAAAACAACAATTGTAATTGCTCCTATAATTCTGATATCATTACTTGGATCCAGCATAAGTAATTCATATTGCTACAAAAAAATTGAGATAATTATAATAGTTAATATTGCAACAAGCCAAAATCATACTTTAACAAATACAAAGATTAGGAAGAATATTTGAAAGCAGAACTTCATTTTAGTTTGTCACAAAGAATAATTAGATCAAGAAGATCCTAATTGTACAAATGTTGACATTTTGCTCTATTTTATAAGGAATATCTCTAGTAGAGATTAAATTCTTCTAACTGTAATATTTTTAACTGATTACTAAGTTTAAAAAAATCAAATTGTGATTTAGAAATACATGAAAAGTATGTTTGCTCCCTATTATCATGTTGCCTTAATTTCCCTTTAGGTTGGTCATTGATGAAATATAACTTGCCTCTGCTCTTTAATCAGACTTCAAATTTTTTTCAAGTTCTGGTTTGGAAGGAAAGTACACTATATAGAGCACAAACTATAGTCAACAATAATTAGTAAATAGATGTTAAACAATCTTCATAGTATGAAATCCCACATTATGATTATTCCTAATGTTGCACCAAACCTTAAAAGGGATACTTTACAAACTCCTGGGCTTTGTACAGGTTATTTCTACTGGAACTATATTTTGATGTATCATAGACCTCAGGTTTTCCAGTAAGCATAATTAAATGATGCATTTGATCTTGGGCTGATCTCAGCAAATATTTGTCCACTGCATTACCGTACTATCACCATTAAATCCAAGCTGTCTCACATCTCCCTAAAAAGTTTTTATAAACTATTCCAAAGTAGAATTAGTCTGAGGAAAACTTGTTCAGACTGTGAAACGTAAAGATAACAAACAGAATACTAGAAGTCATTAGCTTACCTTAAGTAGGTCAACAACAGTCTCTGCAAAGCCAACTACATACATGGCTACGGCAACAGCATTAGCAAATGCAAAGATCAAGCCTATAGCACCACCAAATTCTGGACCCAAGCTTCTGGAAATGAGATAATATGCACCTCCTAAAAAAAAGAAGAGACAGTGTAAGATGTTAAGTTATGATACAAATTATATCTTTATGCACAGAATTTATGTTTATGTCCTACAAGCACTGATTTCCCCCTTTTTTCTATTTGAGGTCAATTCTGATTTTCATGTGCAGTCTTAAGAAGTATAGAATTAATATCACTGTAGTGCCACGTAACCAAGTGAGCTCCCGTTACTTGTCCCAGCTTCTGCCAACCTAGCAGTTCGAAAGTATGTAAAAATGCAAGTTAAAAAATAGGGACCACTTTGGTGGGAAAGTAACATCGTTCCATGTGCCTTCAGCATTTTGTCATGCTGGCCACATGACCATGGAGATGTCTTCAGACAGCGCTGGCTCTTCGGCTTTGTAACAGAGATGAGCACCGCCCCCTAGAGCCGGAAACGACTAGCACGTATGTGTGAGGGGAATCTTTACCTTTATTATTCACTTGTAAGAAAACATCGGTTTGCATCGGTTTAGTACTGAAGTAAACAACACCTAATAGACAGACTGTCCTACTGACAGATAGATACAAAAGATAGGCAGAAAGATAGAGAGAATTACAGATACTAACTGTATGGAAAAAGATCAAGGGATAAAGCAGTGATGTATTTTCTGGAACTTTCCTTACAACCAAAGAACTATAAAACTGCATGCAAGTAACTGTTCTGCTTGTTAAGCAAAACATTCACGACGAATAGAGGATTTTTATAACAAGTCACCAAAAACATGTTTTTTAAACCAACTGACACTGACAAGCTACTTTAATATTTTGTTATTGCTATTGCAGGTAGTATCAAATTGCTATATGGTTGCACATCAATCATATATTTCATGGTCTTTAAACATTTCTTTAAATTATACAAAAAATACGTCCAGGGAATTTACATACATAAGTTATTATAGATAAATGTAGGGTTAAAAATCATTTATAGCAGTTACCATTTGAAGACTACTAATCATGTATTACCTCCTCTCACAAAACCATTGGTAGCTATTGCTGATGTAGACAAGCCAGTGATAGTAGTTACAACAGTGGCCATTGCAATAACCAAGAGAGCAAGTCCTGTAAGGAAAACAGAATTGTTATGATTTCTAAGAACTATATATTTCCTAAAACAAATGCATATTATTTAACAAAAAGTAGTGATTCAACGAAAGATGGAAAATATGTAATGCAATTCTGAATAATAGCAATGTCAATTATCCAAATTACCTTAGAACAGTGGTTCCCAAAGTGGGTGGTACCGCCCCCTGGGGGGCAGTGGGATGCCTTAGGGGGGGCGCTGAGAGGCAAGGGGGATGGCAGGAGTGTGCTAAGAGGCAGCAGGGCGCGCTGGAGGTGAGCGGCAGGGCAGGGGTGAGAAAAAATCCCACTGCCACCGTATTCGAGGCGAGGCCCCGCAAGATCACCCCATTGACTTGCATACTCTGGTGCAAGGAACTCAATGGGGTGATTCTGCGGGGCCTTGCCCTGAACGTAGCATTGGGAAAGGAGAGCAAAGCCACAGTGGCTTTGAGTGGCATTGAGCCCCTTGCACCTGAGGCACCTGCCCAAGCAAGTCCGAACGGAGCGGTGCATGAAGTCAATGGGGTGAGCCTGACAGAGGGAAAGAGAGAGGAAGAGAGAGAGAGAGAGAGAGAGAGAGAGAGAGAGAGAGAGAAAGAGAAAGAGAGAGAGAGAGAGAGAGAGAAGAGAAAGAGAAAAGGGAAAGAAAGAAAAAGGGACAAAGAAACGGGGGATGGAAGGGACAGAAAAAGAAATAAAGGAGGGAGGGGAGGAAAAAGATAATGAGCTATCTATTCTAGTCCAATCACCTGCTCCGGCATGGTTAGAAGGGTGTGTGTGTGTGTGTGTGTGTGTGTTCTCCTTGTAATTTACCAATACATTTTGGTTTTGCCTTCTTTAGAATTGGCACTGTAATACATTGGGGAAAAGTAATTTTTTAGGGTGGAGGTCTGGTCCAATGGATCCTGTTTAAAGCCTCTACAAAAATGTGAGAGCTTCCTGATAGTCTTGGCCATGTTTCGTCCACAAAACCTTTAATTAATAGAAGCCAAAGATGTTTCGATGTGGTGGCAAAGATGCTGGCAAAGATGTTTCAATGTGGAAAAGGACCTCTAAACTTCCATCCCCCCTTTCTTTGTCATTTCAATCTGATGCATCAGGTCTCTCTCTCTCTCTCCTCCTCCCCCCTCCATTCCTCCCTTTCTTTGTCCCTTTTTCTTTCTTTCCATTTTCTCTTTCTTTTCTTCCTTCTCTCTTTCTCTCTTTTTTCTCTTTCTCTCTTTCCCTCTGCCAGGCTCACCACATTGATTTGGTGAACCGCTCTGCTCGGACTTGCTTGGGCAGGTCCCTCCAGTGCAGCAGGCTCAATGGGGTGGTCCTGCGGGGCCGGCACCTAGAATGTGGCAGTGCTGGCACGTTTGAAAAGTAGAGCAAAGCCAGAGATCGGTAATTTTTGCTGCAAAGAATCACAAAAGCTTCTGGGTTGTGCCCAAGAAGGGACACACATATCAATGCAATTCAGCAACATAAAAATAAAGAAATACAAATAAAACAAAACAAGAATCAGCAAAGCTTCTCTGATTAGATTTTATTCACTACTAGAATCTAATCAGAGATGCTTTGCCAATTCTAGTCCAATGACCTGCTCCAGCAGGGTTGGAAGGGAGTATGTGTATATGTGTGTGCATGGCTGTCAAAACTCCAAAAACAGGTCAAGTAGTTCTGGGGAGGCCAGTCATAAATTAGAACACTTGCTAAGCAACTGGCTATTAAGTGAGGACCACTTGTATTTGGTTTGCCAGTCACCAAACCATGCCCACCCTGTCACGTGACCAGCAAGCCATGCCATTAGTCACGTGACCAGCAAGCAACACTCACCCAGTCATGTGACCAGCAAGCCACACCTTCAAATTAGGCCATGCCCACAGAAATTTGAATCCCACCCCTGGGCGGGGGGCATTCAGGATGAGTTTGTAGCACCAAGGGAGCAGTGGACTGAAAAAGTTTGGGAACCGCTGCCTTAGAAGATATCTATTTACAAGAGCCTTTAGTACTAGATGATAACTTTAGGTCAACAATCCACTATCAAGTTTAAAAGCTAAATGATTTGATAGAATATTTACAGAAATGTGGCAAAGTAACAAAATAATGATTGAATGATTCCATCCTATAACAGTAAATCTAGAGAAAGACATGTGGCCAAGCGATTGGAATAGATCAGCTTAATGCAAACACCACAGAAAGAAGACTGTTGCACCATATCTTTAATTTCATTATGAGCAAAAGAGTTCTTAGGATGACCCAAAACTGAACAGAATACTATGTTCAAGCTAGTTTTAAAAACAAGAAACAATACTGTTCTCTGGATAATTGAGAAGGCCAAAGAATACCAAAAATAATTCACTATATACTTCATTGATTAGAGGAAGAACTGCAATTCTGTTAAGCTGTGATATGTCTTTTATAAATGGCATTCTCAGATCATTTTCAAATGCAAAAGCCACACAGAATAGGAGTCCAGGTAAAAGTCCTGGCAAAGCAGATCAGGTCAGCAAAGACTGAATTCTTTGTCTTATTTATTCAGTCTATGTATCGAATATATGCTGAAAGAAGCTTGATCAGAAAATTATGAATGTAATTTAAATGTGAAAAAATAATCATCAAGCTGGGCTATGTTGGTGACATTACTCTGAAAGCTGAAAGTACAAATCACTAGAGAGCTTTACTGTAGTAATCAAAGTCAAAGACTTCGTGAGAAGTCTTCAGTGAGAATTGGGAGTATAATTAAATATAAAGAAAACCAAACTAGTAAAAACAGATACAGTAACCCAGCCTTAAACTTAAATACATTTAAGTGGTGAATAGCTTCTGTATTTTAGGACTGATTATCAAACAGTATAGAATTCAGCAGTCAATAAATATGCCATGAAAGCAAATGAAACATAGAACAAATCAATCAAGAATTCTGACTTGAGGTACAAATTATCAGGATCAAATTATCAGATTTTGGACCAGGTCCCCTGAGACGTCCATAATGCTGGGGAAGGTAGAAGAAAGGGGAAGATGACAATAATGATCAGCAAAGTGACATGACTCAGTTACAGCAGCAATAGATGTGCTGTTGGAAGACCCAAAGATCCAAATCTATTTATCTAGTCAATAAATGTTAATACCAGGTTGATTAAACATAGTTAATAATCAATTGCAATATTTAAGTAACAAAAGCAGTTTAAATGTCAAATATGGAAACATGTTTTACAATGGGAGTATAAAAAATATTGCTAGTTCATGGCAAATGAAACACGTTCAGCAACTGCTCTATATTCTTTTCAGTGAAGCTTTTGTAGAAAGCATATTAATTTTAGTAAGAAAGCCACCTACATAATATTCTGGGAATCAAACATAGGTATGCTATGTTTTAATACAGAAACAAACCCCCCCAAATGTAAAAGTTCTGCAAAAAATAAACCCAACATTTGTTTAACCATTCAATTCTTACTTTTTGAGAAATTATGAACATTCAGCAGTAATTCGGAGTAATCTGAGAATTCTGAGTAATCAGAATTACTCAGTAAATCTGAGTATTCAGAGTAATCCTACTCCATAATCCATATTTTGTCACATGTCAAATCGCAGGAATTTTAGCAATACCAAAATGTGATGTTTAGAAGTTCTTACCTATGCCAGCATTTCCTACAATCCAGGATAGTCGAATGAAGAGCATCACACCCCAGATATTCAACATACATCGTACCTATACCACCATCAAAGTAAATAACAGTTATATTAAAATTAGATTTTTGAAGAAATTGTAACAGTTCGAGTTAAATGCTTCTTACAAGAGAACCAAGCATCTCAGGCTTTCAAGCAGTTTTTCAAGAAGCAACTTGGAATCCATCTAACTTACATAGCAAGATAGTTTAGAAAACAAGATTGCATGATGACAATTTTAAAAAAGCTAGTTGCATTGAAAGACATTATTATTAACAGCTGGTCAATAGACTATATACAAAAAACAAATGTATTACCTTTCTAGATTCCTAATAGTAAGAAAATATGTTCACCAGCAAAAGACTGATCACTGTTTATAAACCAAAAGTATAGTAATAAAGCAAACGTAATATATAATGTCACTCCAAAAACTACATCATTTGTTGTTCTGTGTTCCACCATTTTGAAGCCATTTGCTTTGTATGGCTACAGGAAGAGTGTGAGTATTGAGCTGTAGTTTCTTAACATGTTGAACTGAAAATTGTTTTGTAAAGATACAATACTATCCTTGAAGCTAGCATAAGTGAATGGAAAGCAGAAAATATAAAGACAGAAATCTCAAATTAAATAAATTAGAAAGATACTAATTACATATAACTAACCATAATATAGCTTATTAAAAGTTTACAATATAAACAGTATGCCTTTTACTATTAACCATATTGGTCTAGAATATTTCTGTGATAGAATGAGCTAATAAATTATATGGGATGTGGGTTTTTTCTAAGTAATCTCTGGATTACAGTAATCCAATCAACAAAAGAAAATGAAAAGACAAGGCACTTCCATCGAGGTTTGAGCGGAATCTGTGATCGTGTGCAGTTTCGCTCTGAGGTCACTTGTTGGAGGGCCCAATTGGGACCGAACCACCCTGGAGTGGTGGTGAAGAAAGGGGGAATTGCTTGGAGGGTCGAGGGGAGCCGTAACTTCCCTCCTTGACAGGATAAACCCCCTCTGAAGACAAGTTGCAGCAGTGGTCAAAATGGCCACCACAAAGATGGGAAGCAGTCTGAGAAACTAAGACTGCTGGAGAAGTGAAGTTGCGAGCAGAGTGTTTACCAGGCTCAACATATGGATATTAAGGTACCCCGGAATTAAGGAATAAAGAACTATTTTGTGAAAGTGTATTGAAGCAGTGACCAGAGAGAGAAAGAAGGAAATTGGAACTTATAAAATTGGCCTTGAATATTTAAAGAATTAATTTGGAGGTGAAAATCTAGAGGAAAATATTTGAACACAAGAGGTTGGAATTTAAATTGGATAATTTTTGGATTTTTGGCACTAAATAGGCATAAGTAAATGCTGGAATAGAATGTGTTGAAAAGAAATAATAAAGGTTTTATAAAAGGTTTTATAAAAAAAGAGGAAGAAATAAAAGAAAGGGTGGAACGTGAAAACGGAATTGAGAGCGCCACTTAATGGTACAGGAAAAATTTCAGTGATTTCTTTGAAAAGTGTCTGCTCCTTTTAAAATTGACTTGGAACTTAAAAGAAAATAAGAGGAACTTCGTTATAATAGAATAAAAGCTTCGAAAAACCCTGAAAAGTGAAATATTAGAATTAATGATTACAAAGGGGAAGACATCGAAGAAATTGCTTTGGAACTATCTGGTGACTTTGGAAAAACTAATAGAAGGAACCTGGAAACAAAAACTAATAGACATTGTTGAAATTAAATATAAAAGACTCTGGTTGAAACAACTTACTGGACATTTGGATTGTACAATTATCAAGGAAAGTGGGGGGAAAGGAGCAGCCTAAAAAATAGGAGACCAATTTGCAGAAATGAGATTGGATCTACAAAATATGAAAGAATTTATGAACGTGAATCTGGAAATGTCCAACAATATATTACAAAAACTAGAAATGGTGACTCAGTTTGAAGAACAAAGAGAACCAGAAGGGGAGGAATTAAACAAAGAGGAAATCAGCCTTGAAGATCAAGTGTAACAACAACCATTTAAACAAGGGAAAAAAGAATTAAAGTTAAAAATTTATAGAAGAATTTGAATAATGAAATTATTATGTATGTTTAAACAGTATGGTGATTGGCATTAGAAGAAGGTATTAGAATGCTGAATAATTAAACAATGAAGGATCATAAAGTATTATAAATATATGTATCAATATTAGAATTATATATACAAATGTGATGTTAAGGGATGTGATTAATGTTATTTCTGTTTGCAGCAAAATGTATGATGATTAGGTGCCACACTGTTTATATACTGATGACTATAAGTAGAATAAATTTTTAAAAACTTGGGGAAAAAAAGAACGAAAAGACACGAATGAAAACATTTTCATAGCTTACTTTTCTTTACCTAGTGATACTCTTAAATTTACTTTTCCTTCTTTTAAAAAAACAATATTTGGGGCAATGATTGTGAAAACTGCCAGACAGACAGATGGGACCTCAAAATGCTAGCTTTCCAAGCCATTTTCTATGGCCTATAATGATACTTCATGGATGTTAAACAGCAAGGCAGGGCAATGACTGCTCTACAGATGTGAATGCCGGCCACAGGAAAAGGCCTGGAATAGAAGCAGTCTGGAAATATCAGCCTCACAACTTGTCTTAATACGCCAGCCTAGCATATTTTCCAGGCATAGAGAACACTATCAACCCCACAAATCTCCTTGTGATGAGCAGCACCATTCCCTGAGAACTCCTACCTGCTCTCACCTTCTCTACCAGGCAAGAAGAAAAGCAACAAGCAAACAAAAGATATTGCTATTAGGCAAAGAGAAGGAAAACTCTGCTGGGCAAAAATAGAAACATCAAGTGACAACAAAAATGAAAAGACTGAAGAGAAGCAAGACAAGAAAAAAAGCAGAGTCTACGCAGCTTTTAGTAGATGGATATCCTATATTATCTCATCCTAGATATGAACTTGAAAATATATTACATATCAAACCAGTAATACAATTAAATGTTAGTATTTGGGTGAACAAAAAATACTGTGAACTAAATGACCAAATTAAAATATTTCTATTTTACAAGTAATTCTATCATAACCTTGTTTTTTATTATTCATGAAATTCACTCCACACGATTTAAAACATTAAACAGAAGACAAGAATTACTTGAAATACTGAAGTTTTACTCACCAATACACCTTTAATCCAACCAAATTTGACAATCCCTTTACTATCAGGAGTATATGCCGCAGTGGCTTCTCCAGTAGGAGTTCCTTCTTCTCCATTTGCATAGCCATCTTCAAATAGCTCCTAAGACATAATAGCAATCAGAAGGGAAAGGGAGGTTATAAGAAAGAGTCTCTAATAAATCTGTTTAATGTTAATAGTGTTGTAACCAACAAGGATTAAACGGCAGAACACTTTCTGATTAATATCAGAAAGCCTGGAAATGTTTTTTCTTTGTAGAAAAGTAGTCTACCGCTGTATAATAACATCTTTTGTATAAAGCTAACGAAGCTTTATATGATTCATTTATTAAATGAAATATGCTTTGCATGATATACAAAATATAGTTAAATGAATAACTTTCACAAAAGACTATAGAAAGTTCCCATGACATTTATATAAAGCATGTATTATATATACAGATGTTTCTTGCTAAATAAATGCCTTGTTTAGTGACTGTTCAAAGTTACGACAGCACTGAGGAAGTAACTTTATAGCCAGTTCTTTTACTTACAATTGTCAACGTGTCCCCATGGTCACATGATATTCAGGCATTTAACAACTGGTGGGCATTTTATGACTCTCACAACATCCTGTGATCACATGATTGTCATTTGTACACATCACAGCTGGCTTCTGACAAGCAGAGTCAACATGGAAGCCAGCAATAAAACTGCAGGTTTTGGTCACTGATGTGTCTCCCTTACCAACCATGGGTGACTTGCTTAACAATTGTGATGGAAGTGAGAACTTGAGTTTGTTGCTATCACATAATTTGCTTAATGACATCATTTAGTGACAGAGTTGCTGGCCCCATTTGTGGTGGTTAAGTGAGAACTATCTGTATACATAATTCATAGGTACTTTTCCATTCAGTCAAAAGGCTCAATGTTCTACA